AGAAGAAAATATCTTTCTTCGAAAGATATTTCTCTGGGGAAATCATTCCCAGGTGCTCCGAATTCAATTTTACGATTCACAACGCGAAAATTACATTGAATCATGAGATTGAAATTCTTCAACAAATGACCTTGGATAAATGGCAGTAATGATTATTACCACTTGAAAGGACGTTACAGTCTAATAATTGAATTGTTCTACGTATTTGTGAAGTTTACACCTGGAAATCCCTGCTCTGGGTGAAAAAGTTCCAGAAAGATATTTTTTTGTATCAAGAATATGAATTCTTGGCTGGAATATCATTTGGTCTTGGACTCCACTATAGGTGTAAAATTTTTTTTATAATTAATATTTATAATTAAAACACCGGCGGTAGTTTTATTTTGATCTGCAGTAATATTGTGTATTGAATTTAACTTACAGCACATATGGGAAATAATATTCCCACAGCATACAGCATCGGACTCGTCACTGTTGAGGGCTTGAATGGATGATTGATCGAGTCATCGTCGCAGAAGAATCCACGGTGGTATGGCTTACCAAACAAGTAAAAAGCTAGCACTGAGAATCCCACTATGTAACAGAAAGAAAAACACATCAATTGCGTTAGTGTAAGACGTGAGTAAGCTTTTATGATTTTTTTTCCAAAGCATTATCCAGTTGAATTATGTTTTTATTTCCGCTTCCGTGAATTTATTCAGGAGTTACAAAATTCGAGAAGTTGTGTTCAACCGTCGATAATGCTCAAGGAAGTATTAATAATCAATAATCAATAATTTATATATATATATATAATAATATCAGAATTTTTTTATTTGAAAATCGAGAAAATTGAGAAAACGGAAATTTTTGTTTACCTGGAAAATTTTGTATGTTGAATTTATATTTAAATAAAAAAAATATATTTACAGATTGTTAAAAATTATTTACGATCGGCTCATATTATAATTTATTATAATATATTTTATGAAGGAAATAGTAATCTGAGTGAATAAAAAAAATGGGAAAAGGGTTCTATTGTTTATGACAGGCAGATAACGATTGAACGATGAACAATTGCAGGTAAATCGAGTTTTACAAGTGAAATGATGGAAATAATTCCTGAATAATCGAAGAATTTTTCAAGGTGTCTATTCCTCTGTACAATGAGAAGTATTAAATTAAAATCCGGTGATTTCTACTTGAAATCACTGAATTTTTCATGGATTTCTGTATTTTTCCGTTAACAATCGGTATTTTTCCCTGATTGAACCTTCTCACGTGTGTGGTCATACTGGAGATCAGATCGTCTCTCAGACTATATTCATCTCAATTTTTTTAATCATCCATTTTGCCCTCCACTCCCCTATAAAACTGTAAAATATCATGAAGACCGCAAGTTTACTACTTCATTATTGGGGTTTAACTGCAGCGCGTGTACGATAAATCTCAGTAAAAACTGTAGAATAATGTGTTTCTATTAAATGCATGCTTCATCTGAGTATCTCGTATAAACTGAACGGGTGGATAAATTTTCTACGTGATACATCGAGGAAAACACATAGAAACCAAATCCTCGAACAAATCCCTGAATTTCTCCAGTTCCAGTAATTTCGCAATTATTTAATAAGCGGGCAACTTCGCGAGAAGAATGTCACTGGAACTTTTTCACTCTTTTTATTTATTACACTTGCTTTAAAAACGAAAATTTCCAGTGAAAATTTTTATTATTTTTCGCACTGTGTTGTCTCTTGGCTACTACTGCGTGTCTAGTAAATTAATATCTCAAAAATCCGTCGACGTCAATCCCATTCCAATCTCATTCATAACTCCGCCTCTTTCTTCATCCATCAATTCTCTTTATCATCGAAAGAAATCGCCTGATCTCACTCCCCTAATAAATAATTCGCAAAATTAATACCACGAATTATCCACAATAATTCATCTCCGGCTCGTTCATTCATCAGTACTACAGTCTATTCATTTCCCTGGCGTTATCAATCCCGATAAAAATCGAAACCATATGTGAACATTTTATTTGTTCACATATGGTCCACACCATCAAAACAATTATTCAAATATCGAAATTTTACACTGTGTTCGTTCCCCGAATATATCATTTTAAATCAAATGATGATGTCAACCTAACATATAAATTCAGTTCTTATCTTTAGAGAATAATTTCATTCGGAAAGACCA